TTACAAGACCAATGCATTCCAGACTGAGCTACACAGTTTGAATGTGCAATATTTTATTATTTTGGAGCTTAATTAGTCTCGCTCCTTCACTAAGATGGTAAACCTAACAATGCCGATGGTAATTGATAACAGGTGAAATCATTAAGATGGTGCTTGCTGAGTATATCTACATGAGATTGGTGTGTTGCAATTTTGGGTCATGAACTGTAACTTCTGGCAAGTTAGTCTGCTCCACCATCAATTGCTTGATACAGATGTGAACAAATATCGTACTCATTACTGTTACCAGCAATCAAAGTTTAATATCAAAGTTACAAATTATAAACCAGTTCTGGTGAAAATGGATTCTACTCGCGCAGTTCACTTAGTTTAGTCCAAAAACGTTTTTGTTAATTAAGAAAAGAAGCCCAATACAAAGACATCACATCCCCTTTCACTGATCAGGTATATAATTTAGTACGAATAGTAGTACGAATTATAAGGATATTCACAGTATAATATGCGCCTAAAATTAAAAAAATTCAACCTACAGCGTTCTAAAAACAAGACATGACGCATTTTTCTTCAAGTTAAGTGGATTAGTAGTTGCAATAGTTTCAAACTACACTCAGAAAAACAACATATAAATGCGTATATATCCATCGGTGCCAAAACAGCACATACAGTTTGCTGCGTTTAAAATGACAATTTTAGCATCATTCAATAAACTTTTATTATAATAAAATGAATAATCTACCTTTCTTTTGTACGTCCTGAAAATTTCAATGACATCCACCATAAAATAACGACGATATACCCATTTAAAGTTATGAAATACAAGTTTCGCCATATTAGTTTATAATGTTTTGGACCAGAGTTGGTTGCTTTCAACATGGCGGCCAGGATCCGGAAGTAACATGTACCGGCACAAAAACTTCAAAGGTTCCGACTCGAGTGAAGCTTCTGCTCTTCTCTATTTTGTGGTAGTATTTCGTCGCTTGGCGTAAGAACTACAACGTCTGTGAGCAGGCTAGAAATTTATACGCCAAACGTCAACTTCAAACGCCAAATCTTAATTTACTGCTTTGGTGAATGGCATGACTAGTGGTTAATTTGCTTTCTTTAAATCATTGATAAAGAGCACAAGTTTAATAAGTTTAACATATTTCAAAACTGGTGTAAAAGCTATAATAATAGAGTTGTAAAATCAAAAACTTCGCTAGCGGTTTGACGTTTGCCGTAAACGTCAATCTTAAGGTTCTCTGTCAATCCGCAGCTGTCTTGTTCTCGTTAAATACCTGACACTGCATGGCAGAGCCGGACCGATCGAGATTATATTAAAGTCACAGATTTGGGATCTGACTATAAATTTCAACGGGCTGCACTCTATGTTGAGGGTCAAGAACAGATCTAGATTTAGAGTATTAAGTGGCTGTCTCACGGCTAAGAACCATGCAGAGCGTTTCAGGTTGAAAATTAGATTTCCTTTATATTTTTACCATGAACTACCTTTGTCCTAAAAGGTACTAAACTAATACTAGAATTTCTAAATTTTTCTTTTTTTTTGAGTTATGACGAATTTTTGTCTGGACGTCAGCGACACTGAAATTTGACCCCGAAAACGGCGATCAAATGTGTGTTAAATTGTGCATCATAACTCGGAAAGTTTCGCGTCAAATTAAAAACTTTTTTCAGCGTATTGAGACATATTCTTCTTCTTTTAGAATGTTGAAAGAATTTGAATGTACATCTTATTTTAAGCCTACTAGTCTCCATCCAAGGATGTCGGCATTTTCGTTCGCCGAACAACTAATGATTAGGTATAAAATTCAAACTAAAAATTCTCAAAAGTGCAACCTACCTGGTGTCTAAAACACTTTTAGGGTTAAAGTAGAATACTTAAAGTTAAGTTATTCGCAATAAAACTTGTCGGCAAAAGGAATATGAAGGAGTGCAAAATTCATAAATTATGGCTATAAATAGCTCTATTGTTTACCTTTGTGATAACCGGAAACACGTTCAAGGTTGCTCGCGGAGTTTTTATAGCGACTAATATATTGCACAATCATTGTATTTAACTCAGAAAAGTTTAATTCGATCGATGTGATGGATCTTTGAGGTCCAAAACGGTTAGAAGAAATAAATTCGTCTAGGACGTTGTATCCCTCATGACCGGACAGGTACAGGGCCGTAGGAAGCTCTTTTCAAATTTTTAAAGGAAATTTTTAAATTTAGAGTCTCTGAAATACCATTTCCTGGACTTTGGGGAAGATTTGACAGAAATCTGATTGTCAGAAAACAACGTTTTAGTATGTCGAAATTTACAATTTAGTAGTACTAAATGGCCGAATGCGTATTTAATTAACTGTATATTGGATAAGTTGCAGGAAAATATGGGTAATATCTTCATTCTTTGCAGTCATGGATTAAATGATAAAGGTCTGCATGATTTTGAAAAAAAGAATGATTATTAGGAAATTATTGGGGGGGG